CCTTGCTGTGCCAAGGACAAGGAGATTTCCTACAGCTAGTCCCTTGCAAAGTTATGTTTTACATTAGGGAATCCCGTGTACATTTTGCTTCTCACATTGTTAAACTGCTTACAGTCTAAAGTCCTGAAACGGCTTCCCGAGACCCAACTAAACCAGTTTTATGTTACCATTAATCAGAAAAATATGCAAGTTTTATAGACGAAAGTAGGGAAGGGGGGAGGTAAATCCTGTCTTTTGTTTCGCTTGGAACCTAAATAGATTAGACGCATGACAGGTACTTTTTTGTAACAAATAAAGTAGACTGTAATTTTGTTTTTTCGAGGAATGTATTTACAGGATCCTAAACAAAGCTTCAATTGCTTATTAGTTGATTGGTTGACTTTTCTCCTTCCCTTTAGGGGGATTTGAAAAAAAAAAAAAAAAAGGGAAAGTCGGATTTTTCTTTTGCGTACATACGCTGTATAGCTGTACAGACAGAGTCTGAAAGTTGATCTGCCGTGTTTTGTCAGGAATTTCAAGTCAATTCAGTGCTCAGTAATGAGCGACAGGCTTCGCCCGTAGAGAGAGCCTCAACAGCACGCAGACCGTACAGAGTCGGAGAGCTAACCACAAGTGTCTCATCTATTGCAGATTGCATGTTCCTTGGGCTTTGTGTTCAGAGGGATGGAGAAGCAAGCCAGGAAAAGAAGCCAACACGAGTGACCTGGAGCAAAGGAAGGGAACTTGGCATACATATTTTTATAACCAGAGGTGCATTGAAGATTATTAATAAATAAGTTTTTTTTTAACTCTTATGAGTTCATGTTTGGAACTTCGACAAAGCCACAAGTTTTCTCATGAAATGAAGGAGCTGTCTCCGTTTGTCTTCCAAGACCATCGGCGGAAGGAGTTGAGAGATCGGTGACGTTCCTTTTTGTTTGTGTTTTGTGTTCATTGGCATGCCTATTGACATCTGAAGTCATTCCTTAAAACCCAGAGGCTGGGCAAGTCCCCTTGTCTTCTTTAAGACGTCCTTGGATCAGTTAGTAGTCAGAAGCCTGCCAGCCTCTATCCCGAGGAGGTCCAGGGCCATCATCGCCTTTTGGCTTGGGTTGGTTGACTGGATACAATGCTGGTCTTTAGTTTCATCCTGGTTGGCATGTTTGGAGTTTTGAGGGGATGCCAGATGCCACATGACTGGAGACCACAAACTGAAGCATGCAGAGCAGAGCTGGTGGAGACGGTGGTGTTCGCCAAGGTGCTGGCTCTTCATAAGGATAGCTATAGCGTCTACAATTACCTGCCTTGGCAGTACAACTCCGACCTGTTTTACTCTGCTGAGATTGAGTTGCTCTGTGATCAGGGCTGGGGGAGCATGCTGGAGGTGCCAGCAGGGTCCCGCCTTAATGTCACAGGACTGGGGTACTTCAACTGTCACTCATATACAGTAATGGAGAACAACTCCTACTACTTCTTTCTAAGGTAAGTGATCTTCTTTACAGCATGCTGGTTTGTGTCTGGGGCTGGCAAAATAGTAGGTTCAGCACTACTTGATCTTATTTGCAGCATCCAGGTAGCTCATGTGGGTGTTGTCATGGTGGATACCAGGAACAAGAGTCCTAGTAAGCCTAATTCTGTATTTCCACGACATCTTCCCTGACAACACCCTATATTCCTGGGTAATTTAAAGCAGGAATGCCTGGGAAAAGACTTTCCAATGCAGTTTTGGTTCTTGAGAAAGGAATCACATGATGCCTTAAATGTGTTTGCGTGCCCTTAGGTGGCCCTGAAAAGGGTCAGGGGTTATACATTCACAGGGTCCTTCCTTCCTTGTATAGCATGTAATAGATTTGTATTATGATTAATATTCAATCCTGGTATGTCCTACACATTCATGATACATAGACACTTCATGGCCCATAGTCTCACCATTATGGTGAGACCATGGGCTATGAAGTGTCTATGTATCATGAATGTGTAGGCTATACCAGGATGGATTGAATCCAGTGTTCAGAACACGCTGAGAAACATGTCTATAGAAAGTTTCATAAAACTGTGTTACAATGATGTCTAGTGGTCAGGTCCTACTGAGAACGTACAGGGAGCAACAAAGTTGGGATCTGGTGGTGAAGTCACATTGAGCATTATAAGCACTGCTCCATCAGACTGCAGTGGCAGTTACAGCGTGCTAAAGGCTGCTTATGGCAGGTTAAATTTATCTGCCATAATAGTGACTGTAAGAGCACTTTTGAATGAATGCCTTCAGTGCACTTTAGGTTGCCTTCAGTGTAAACGGAGAAAATTATGGATTAATAAGCATTGCAACAGCCTAATTCTGTACAGCATGTAACAAGAATTGCATTATGATTGCATCCAGGGGGTCACGTCAGGTTTGGTGGCGTCATGGTCTTTCTCATGGTCTCTACAGTTCGTAATCGGATTGCATGGTGATCTTGTGCACTGGTCTAGTTATATTGGAGCCAGGGCAGCCATCAGAAATTTTAGGGCCCCCCCCCCCACCGGACACAGGGCTTAGTGACGTGCTGGACGCAGGGCTTAGTGACGCGCTGGACACAGGACCCACCTGAGAGTGACCCTGCATAGCCCACCATAGATGCTGCACAGCCCATCTGTGACTGTCTATGGTGGGCTCTGAAGGGGTCTCAGGTGGGCTGGTCAGGGCTGCCTCCCTCCCTCCTTTCCTTCCTTCCTAGCTCCTCCTACCTGCACACATGGCCTTGTCTGCCACCGGACCGGCCAGAAGTGACATCACTTCCGGCCAGTCTGACATCAGACGAGCAGCGTCGCTGATGGGGCCCTAGCTTGTCTCAAAGCCACTGGAGCTGCAATGCTGGGGCCCTGCGCTGCTAGGGCCAGGCCTCCGCCTCCTCGCCCTTCACCGTCGGCCGATAGTCATGTAAGGGACCCGGGCGGCCCCCCCAGGCTGCCCGGGCCCCTTACATGAGTATCTGCCGTACCCCCCTGATGGCTGCCCTGATTGGAGCTCTAGTGTTCTGTCTGTATAGAGTGTAGTAGAATCATATGATGATGTCTAGTTCATGATGGTTGATCTATGCCTTTACAGAGTGTAATAGAATTGTATTAAACTCTCCTCCACTTCTCTGGTTCCATACATCATTATATATATGGTTTCAGTCATGTTTGGATGTGTGCTGCCATTGTGTCTTTATACAGCGTAATAGAATTGTATTATAGTCATATACAAGGGCTGGACAAATCCCAGGATCCAGATAGCCAATGCTCCTTAAAATGTACAGCTGGCACCTAACTTTTGAGGTTTTATCTAGTTGTCGTCAACGGTGCTCCTAAAAAACCCTGCTGGCTCCTGGATTGGATAGACTGGCTCCTGAATTCCATATTAATTTGTCCACCCCTGCCCTGTAGCTATGTCATGTTCATGGATGTATGAGACTTGACTGATCAATTATAATGGTTTCCCATCAGGAAAGGTGCAGTGGTCACCATATGTTCACGTCATGGTCTATGTCTGTACAGTGTGTAATTGGATTGCATGGTGGTCATGTGGACTGGTCTGGTTATATTGGGGCTCAAGTGTTTCTAAGTCTGCATAGAACATAGCAGAACTATGATGTCCAATGATTGGTCCATGTTGGGTAGTCTATGTATATTCAGTGTCATAGAACTGGTTTATGATCATGCTCACTTCCTTAGTTACATTAGATATTTACAGGGTTATTCATAAAAGGATGAAGAGTTTGGAGAAGGCCAGAGAAGTGAACAATCTAGGACAACATAGCTGATGGGGAAAAATTCTATAATTCAGCTCACTTTCTGGTTGTCCTAGATTGTTCCCTTCTCCTGCTTTCTCCAAACCCCTCACCCTTTTGTGAATAACCCTGTTAGTGTTCTAGTCCTGTATAGAGCATAGTAGAATTATATTATGATGTCTAGTGGCAGGTTCAGGTTGTTATTTTATATATGTGCAGAATGTGATAGAATTGTATTATGATCTTGTCCACTTCCCCGGTTCCATGGGAGTACAGCAATCTATTAGAGCAATGGTCCTGGAGGTGTTCCATTGTGTCTTTATACACTACCTGGCCAAAAAAAAGTCACCACCTGGATTTGGGGCAGTGTTATGATCTGGGGTTGCTTCAGTTGGTCAGGTCTAGGGTACAGCAATGTTATGTCTCCCAAAAATGCGGTCAGCTGTCAACCTGAATATACTGAATGACCAGGTTCTTCCATCAATGGATTTTTTTCTTCACTGATGGCACATTGGGCATATTCCAAGATGACAATGCCAGGATTCATCGGGCTCAGATTGTGAAAGAGTGGTTCAAGGGGCATGATACATCATTGTCACACATCGATTGGGCACCACAGAGTCCAGACCTTAAAGGAGAACTATGGGGTTAAGGCTTTTTCCCATAGTTCTCGTTAGGGTAACGGGAGGACACAAACTAGCGTCCTCTCGTCACCCAAAGCTCACTATATCACGAGCTACAGCTAGCGGTATACTGAGACGCCGCAGCTGAAGTGGATCCCGACAATTATGTCTGGATCCGCCCAGCTGCAAGAGTGACAGCTGGCTCTGCCTATCTAGAGGCAGAGCCAGCTGTACCCGCCCCCTCCCCCCTCCGTTCCGCCAGTCAGCGCTGGAGGATCGGAGCGGGGAGGGGGGAATCCAGTCACTCCCCTGTCACAGCTCTCTGCAGTGACAGGATCGAGAAGTGAGCGAGCGCCGGTATGTCTTCGCTCACTTCCCGATCTACTGAGCCGACCTGTGACAGTTTCATCGTCACAGGTCGGCTAAAACTATGAGGTGAGTGAAAAGCACTCACCTCATAGTTCTCCTTTCACCCCATTGAGAATCTTTGGGATGTGCTGGAGAAGAATGTACGCAGTGCTCCGACTCTCCAGTCACCATTTCAAGATCTTGGCGAGAAATGATTACAACTCTGGATGGAAATAAATGTTGTGACATTGCATAAGCTTATGGAAGTGATGCCACAGTGAGCACGTGCCGTAATCAAAGCTAAAGGCCGTCCAATGAAATATTAGAGTGTGTGACTTTTTTTGGGCCGAGCAGTGTACAATGTAATAGAATTGTATCATTGTCCTATACCATGGCTATGTCATGTCTGTGGCTGTACGAGGCTTGAATAATAATGATGATGATGGTTTCCCTGCAGGGAAGGTGCAATGGTCACCATCTGTTTTCGTTCCGCACACAATGACAAACTGTTTTTCTGGAAATTGATTTCAAATGTTGGCCGACATGTATCCTCCGTATTCAAATCAGAAAAGATGTTAAATCCCCCCGACAGCTGTGCTATAGAGGAAAACTTCAC